TGTAGGATCAAAGTCCAGCCACCAGACACTTCTGGCAACATTCCAGGACTCCCGAGCCCCCCAAGGGTGGTCTCGGTGACTCGGCACCTCAGTCCTGAGGTGCTGAGATCCCACACTGAGGAGTAGCTTTATACAAGTAGCCTGTGTCACACTGATGAAATTATTAGTTCTGTCCTTTCTCGGTGGCCCTTTGGGCATTTCATGGTGCCTTCCTGAGGTCACTGGCACTGCTCTGCTGACTCCTACCTGGCATGCTACTCCATTGGCGAGCTCAGCCTGCCAATAAACAACTTTGTCTGCCAGGGTGCTCATGTCAACAGCTGGGTGCAACTGGATGAGCTGCAGTTTTCATTCCTTTTCAAACTATTAGATGGTCTTTTTTTTTTTTTTTGTACTCTTATTTACTATTAAATATCTGTTTCCAATAATATTGTGTGGTTTCTAAGGATGCTGTGTGTAAACTCATGTGTCCTTTGTGCTTTGGTTGTGGTTTGAGAGGAAGTGAGTTTTTTGGGATGCTGTGGTAAAACCAATAGGTGCTCAGATTTGAATACTAACACATGGTATGGCCATTGGGGACATGGATACACCTCTGAGAACACGGGGGTTAAAAGCAGAGAACTCCCAGGAAAACTCCTTTTGGGTTCGGGTGGTTGAAAGAGCTCAGAGCTCTTCCTGCCCGGCTGTGGGCTGGGCGGGAGGGGCAGCCATGCGGCCGGGTGAGGTAGGCCGGGCCTGGGACAGAGAGGGGAGGTGAAGCGGCCCCGAGAATGGAAGGGTGGAGGAACATTGGAGACTCATTGGGCAGCCACCCCTTGCCCCTTCCCCCCAAGGAGTGAGGGAATGAGAGAGAGAGCGAGAGCCGGTGTCTGTGCCTGGGCCACCTTGAAATTTGATAGCAGGGCCGGCCGAGAAGGAGAAGGGGAGGGATGTGGTGAGGAGAAGGTGCCCAGCAAGGCAGCCGTGGGAGCTCTGGACAGGCAGAGACTGAGATTTTTAACCCTTTTCTTGGATGATGGAAACCTTGCAAATGCTAATCCTCCTCCTGAATGAGAAGAGAGATAGGGATGAATAGCAGGAAATGGGCCATGAGACAAGTTGAGAAGAATCTTAGGTGGGAGGAGATGATGGAGTGGCCTTTGGCTGGACTTTTCTTGTATAGCCATGGACAGAACCATTTTTTTCCTGTGATGCAGACTGCATTTAGGGGGAGCCAATGGCTCGGAGACAAGGGAGTGCAGTGATGTTATGTGAAGGAGTGCGTGAACAGAGACAACGGGTGAGAAGGGTGGTTGGTGCCCTCAATCATCAGAGGAGGAGATCTCTGTTCTTGAGACCCCTTGGCCCAGGGGGTGAAATCTGGGGGGGACAGGTGTTCCAAAGAGACTCTGCTCTTTTTGGAATGGACTAAGCATCCTTTTCATTTTAAATGAAAACCCTAGAAGCAGCTCAGGTCCATGTGCAGTGGTGAGAGCTTTGGACATGGAAGGAAGAGGTCATGATGGCAGATGTTCTCTGGGCAGTGCCATGAGTGACATGGAAACACACAAGGTTTCAACGGTGTTTCCTGGGGAAGCCTATGGCACAAGAGGGATTCCTCGCCTCTTGATGAACTGAGAATTGATTGTCTGAAGGGTGGTGATGGACCGAGAGTTGGTGATCTGAGGGGTGGCAACTGAATTGAGAGTCCAAGGTTTTGTCTTACTGTGATGCATTGGGAACTTGGCTGGGGGGAGGAGGAATGTTTGGAAGGTTTTCATCCTCAGTTCTGTGTGTTTCTTTTATATATTGTAAGTTAATAAAGTTTTTTTCCTTCTATTCCTAAGTTGGAATCAACTTTGCTCTATTCCTGATCACATCTCACAGCAGACACCAGGCAGAAGGTATTTTCATGTGGGCACTGGCATTGTGCCAGCATGAAACCATGACAGGTGTATTTGCAGATGGGGTACTTGGGCATGTTGCAGTACCTGAGAGTCTGTCTGGCTTCTGAAACTGACCTGATATCTGCTGATAACTTTCCAAAGCAGAAATTCTTTCTGGGAACATGAAATCATGGCAAGGTCTTGTGGATGAGCTACATCTGAAGACCAAGTGACCACAGCCCCCCATGCTACATATTTCCTTGCAGAGGCTTGCTCTGCCCCATCAGTAACACTGAACAGCACATTGTACCTGGTTCTGAAGTTCTGATTTTCAGACTCTCACCAAATGTGTGTCATTGATTCCTAGGTGCTCTCTTGCCCTGGGTCCCAGGCATAGCACTTGGTTCCTTCTATACTCCTAGCTCCCTTTAGGGCCAGGGCTATCCTCAGGGATAACACGGTCTCCTGTTAAATACACTGGGAACAGCCCACGAGGCATGGAGTCCTTGGGCTTAAGCTGTAAGTATGATCCTGTGCCTCTAGTAAGAGCATTGGTTTTCCTTTTGTGAATTCCTGCCCTAAATCCCACCCTATTCTGCCAAGGGGAGCCACCAGCTGCCATGTTATCCAATGACCTTTGGCAGGGTTGCTGCGTCCAGCAAATAAAGTTTCTAGTAGTGTTTCAGCATTCATTCCGACCCTACATCCCTGTCAGGATCTTTTCCACATTTCCTATTCAGGTGCTACCTGCAAAACATATAATCTGTCACAGGGACAAAGACTGGATTAAACATTCCTCAGCAACATGTATTAGAGAGATTCATCCCCTGTGATCAAAGGCCCTATCCTTATCCTGTTACATTTAATGGAAATTTTACTAATAACCTCAGAAGACTAAGATATTATTCTCCCTGATTAGTGGACAAGACCATTACAACATTACAGCTTCAAAAGAAATGATAAATTGCTTTGTCTACTCTTTGGATAAGGGAACAAGGCATGTGTTATGCTTCCTCTTTGGATGATGTCTGTTCTCTCAACTGGTAGTCATCTGAGACAGGAGCTGGTGTCCTGTCAGAGGAGTGTGCTGTAGCAATTTCTCTCATCATCATATATTTAGCCCTGAGTTTGGAAAATGGCTCCTACTAGATGGGAGATGGGCAAAGTTTACATCCATGGTTGTAGCTGTGCATTTCCAGTCCCTGTTACCACTGGTGCTGCAGAACCTGGTGCTGAACTGACACTACTTTTTATTCATTCCTAGGAGATTTGGTGAAAGGGTGTTGAGATAATTGCTCTGTCTTCCCTTGAAATTTTTATTTTTCGAGTGTGTCTCAAATGTACTTAGAGAAAAGGAATGAAATTCAGCAGTATGACTGTGCTAGCAGAGCAAATGTTTTGCTGGTGGTAGCTATTTCCCCCGTCCTGTTAGCACTGAATTTGTTCTGGTATTCCTGAAATGCCTTTAAACACTTCATTTCTTCTTAAATGCTTCCTTGTGTGAAAGCTAGCTCTGGGAAGACAGTGCTAAGCCTCTTAGTAGAGCAAAGTTGTGCCTGTGTTTAGACTTATTCCATCACCCTCTGTGGCACTTGAGCTGATTCTACTTTTTATGCCTATCACTTTCTCATTTCCTTTGGCTACGATCCCTCTTTCTTTCTGCTGAAATGTTTGGAGGGCAGGCAATTCCATGGCTGCCTGCAGATGAAGCCAGATCAGCTTTCAGCACTGAGCTGTGTAACAGCTGCCCAGTGTCACTTCAGAGCCAATTTTGGGACAGTGTCATCAGCTTTGTCAATCCATATGTCCCAGGGAGATTTTAAGTGGATAAAAGCTTAAGTGTCTATTAATTGGATCAAATCCTTAAATGTATATCTGAGACATTAAGTGTCAAATGGAACACCCAACTTTCACGACTAACTGCACAAAACTGTAATTCAGTGATATCAGAGTTCCATGAATTCCAGCTATCCATAGGCACATGATAGCTAAAAGTTTGTCCTGTGCTCACCCAAGCCTGTACATGAACATGTGGGAAAAACATTAGTAGCGTTTTTGCAAATTTTGCCCTTTTTTTTGGTGTTTTGTTAAATGAAGGTTTTAATTGCCAGGTTTGTGTTTGTCAAAAGCATGTGACAAAAAAGGCCAGTATGAATAGTATCGGAGTTTTAGTTCCACAAAGCAAGTGGAAAACTTGGAAGTGGAAGTGGAAGCTTGCATATATATATATATATATATATATATATATATATATATATATAAAATATATATCTTTCTAAGCTTGCAAATATAAAAATAATCTTTCTAATACTAAAAATGTCCCACTCGCCTTAGATGTGGGACACTGTGTCCTGGAAGATGTCCTCCTGCTACCTGAACAGCAGAGCCCCAATGAGAGCATGCCCTAGTTGCTCTTTGCCATTGCATTCATTTCTGAACAAGACAAGAAGAGCCCAGGGCTGGAAGGTCAGCTGCACACAAGCTGCATCGGATCCCAGGTGGCTTCTGGCAGGAGGTTCAGCACCAGCCCATCCTGTCAGCAAGTGCCAGGCTGCTGACGGGCTCTCCAGCAATGTATGCAGCTCAGACAGCTGGTGGTTTGCATAGGTTTGCATAGACAGCCCCATAACTGAAGTACCACGTGCTCCAGGTGAGCTCTCTGCAGAGACCCTGCCACTGAAAAGTAAGTCTCAGGACTGAGTTTGGACATTTTTCTCTTTGTCTAAACACAAAAGCATGATCAGTTCAGA